CCCAGCTAGAATACCTCAGTGATATTGACTCGACTGAAACATGATGCAAGTCGTCATGATTGCTCGGTTATATGCCATGTATCAGCGATCTCGAATGATGCTTATCTTCCTTGTTATCATCTTCCTCGCTGTTAACATCGCCTGCCTAGCAATAACGGTAATAGGACTCGAGCATCTTGTAGCGGGTAAGCTTTACTTGTTGACTTGAAGAACACAACTCAATGGACGAGCACTAGAGGAGCTGATACTCTCTGGCATGTATATGTGCTATTTTGGATCTCAGGGGGATTCTCAGCTTCTAGCCTCGATGGTTTGGATGCTCAACACTGTATGGGAGGTTCTCGCCCTGTGTCTTGCAGTCTGGATTGCTGTAAAACACTTCCGTGACCTGCGACGACTTAGATCATCGACCATCGGGGACTGTTTCAGAGTGCTGATGAAATCTCACGTGCTTTATTTTGCGAGGTGAGCTTGTAATGTGAATGTAGTTATCTTTTTCTGCTCAACTTCCGCATGTGCTAGTTTTGTTGGTGTCTCTTGCCTCCAGCTTGCTTATCTCTCTGTAGGGCTCTTGGTGCGCCGATTTGTCGCTGACATCCACTTGTAACCACTGCTCATCATTTCTATAGAATGTGTATTCGGAGGGAGCTCAGATACTCGATGGTGCTTTTGACGTTTTCTTGGCCGTGCAGATGTTTGTGCTGGGACCACGTCTCATCCTTAGCATTCGAGAATTTCATGCCAAACTCGTGGCCGACTCCGACGCAGAAACTAGCATGGCTACGATCATCTTCGAAGAGCGTGTACATGTACCAACTAGCAGTACCGTGTAGGGAATGTTTGCCAAGTGTTCCGCGGGGAGGAGATATCAGGTCGAGGATCCGTCGTGGTATTTATTTAAGATATTATGTTTCATGGAAAATACATTCAAGACGAGGTTTATTTATGTAGCGAAATTCATTTCTTGATGTATTACTACTGGAACTCAGTGAACCGCCCGGCTACACTTGCGCGAAGTGGCAAACTGAAGTGATCCGAATGTCTATCAACCAAACCCGTCCTTGATGCTCGATACTGAAATACAACGAGAATCAGTATAAGTCGCTCAGATGGTTTATTCTACGCGTTTGCGGAGTTCCGTTCTGAACACACAGATGATGAAGTGACCGTGAAGCGTGAAGTCCAGATCGCTGATAAATCATTGGTGCTGAGATGCGTTTTCGTTCATTGGGGCCACAGAGAAGACCTGGTGATCTTGACGAGGCGCTTGACGCGGCATTAGCCGCGTCACAGCAGGCGCGTCACGACCGTGTGGTTAGTAGCCCTACTAGTGTACCTGAAAGGCCGTTCCGGAACTCACATGCACACCTGGCCACTCTCTCTTGCCTCACTCACGTCGATCAAGGATGTCGATGATGAGAATCAGCTGAACTGAAGAGTGTTGCTCCCGAAATATTTGACAGAACTATACGGATGGGTGGAAGGCGCGCCTTGAACCAACCACGTAGGTTCTAAGCCAAACTCTGTCATATGGCATCGCTGAGAATTTCCTCGATCTAGATTAACACGAATAAATCAAATAGAAGTCAGCCGCAAAAACTTGGAGTGGTAGCAAAATCGGGGATCTGATTCCCGATATATTTGACAGATCCTGTCGACAAGAATGTGAGATCTGTGACGTTGAACATTTTTAAACAACATTCATTTTGTACTGTACCACAAGGTGCATGTACTCTGATGATCAACGCATTCCTCGATCGGTATCATCGATGTCATCTTTGACATATTGCAAAAACATTCAAATTGCTAATCGAAGCCTTATCTACTCTTCTGATCCATCGTGTACAGAGCAATTGGACTTTGTCCGCCACATGTCCAGCCACAATCGAACACTCAAGCTTCGCATCCGAGCCTTCCTCCATAATTATGTAATAAAGACCATCGAAACACCTCTCATCTCCATCGGTACCTGGAACCATCAATCATAGCCACTCCCCGGAACTTTATTCTCCTCGTGATCATCCTGCGTTGATTCGTTCCGCATATCACCGGTTCACCGGTCATTCACAAGTGGGTTTCTTCTTCCCCGTTCTCCACCTTCATATTCACTTCTGCATTGCCCTCTCTGACCACTAAATTCAGAATCACCACTCTTATAAGTCTGGTGAGTGGTCGTTGTATCATGATCACGATGACCTAGTATTCATTAAAAGATTCTCGCCTGCCCACGTCACTTATCCCTCCTTTGCGTTCAAAGAGACGCTAGTTCAGGAGAGGGTGACAGTCTTTATGGGTGCGAAACCTTTGAGCTATTAGCTGTCTGAGCTTGGACACCCTACTTCTGCTTTCCAGTCCCCTGGCTTTCCATTCGTTCGGTTCAGGTGGTGGATATATGTATGTGTTTCGATCGGTACTTTACTCTAACGTTCGTGTGTGGCAGGACGGGTTCTGGAAGATGGTTGCAAGGACGCAAATCCGACGCACAATTTGCAGTCACATGCGCACAACGCTACGATGGTGCGACTCCGGTATGAATGAAATTTCAGAATATCGTGGTCGATGTCTCATTAATAGTTTGACAGGTGTACTCATGGCCTTATGAATTGAAGCCCCCATTCTCTATTTCTCTACTTCTCGTTCAGCATACCTCTTCTCCTCGTTATGTTTATTTGTGATAGAGGCATATAGTGGAGCCATGACTCCACGCGATTAATTCCTTTTCCTTCTCTGTGGCCTAGATCGGTGAAAACGCATCTGAGTGCTCAGTGAGTTATCAGTGATCTGGGCCTCACGTTTCATGGTCACTTTATCATAATCTCTGCTCAGAAAGTGGAACTCTGCGAACGCGCAGATTCAGCCATCTAGGCAACTTATACTGATTCTCGTTGTATTTCAGTATCGGGCGTCAAGGACTGTGTTGGTTGCTAGACGTTCCGAATAGTTTCAGCTTGCGACTTGGTGCAAGTGTGGGCGGGCAGTTCACAGACTTTCAGTGGTGATACAACAAGACATCGATTGTCTACATAAGCCTCGTCTTACATATACTTTGAAGCGCCATGACTTAAATAAACATCTCCCTACACAGGACTGCTAGTTGGTACATGTACATGCTCCTGGAAGACAATCAAACTTATGTTGGTTTCTACGTTGGATTCGGCCACCAGTTTTCTGTGATATTCTCGAACGCTAAGGATGAGACGTGGTCCCAGTACAAACATCTGCACGGCCGATGAAATTTGAAGAGCACCAAGGACTATCTGAGTTCCCATAGAATTTGAATTCTACGGAAATGATGAGCAATGGTTTCAAGCAGATGTCAGCGACACGTCGGCGCACCATGAGTTCTAGAGTGATATAAATAAGCTGGAGGCAAGAGACACAAACAAAGCTAGCGCGTGCGGAACTTGAGCATAAAAAGATAACAACAATATTCACATTACAAGTTCACCTTGCAAAATAAAGCACGTGAGATTTTATCAGCACTCTGAAGAAGTCTCCGATGGTCGATCCTGTCGATTGACCGTGTCGTCGCAGGTAACGGAACCGTTTCAAAGCAATCCACACTGAAAGATACAGTGCGAGGAACCTCCCAAACAGTGTTGAGCATCCAAAACATTGATGGTAGAAGCTGGAGATACCCCTCGGATACAAAATCGCATATGTACGTGCCAGAGAGTATCAGTTCCTCTGGCGTTCGTTCAATGAGCTGTATTTTCAAATCAACCAGTAAAGCTTACCCCCTACAGTATACTTAAGTACTATTGCGAGGATTACTCCACGGGCGATGTTAACAGCCAGGAAGATAATAACAAGAAAGATGAGCATGATTCTGGATCTCTGATACATGGCATGTAACCGAGTAATCATGATGACTTGTATCGTGTTTCATTCGAGTCAATATCACTGAGGTATTGCAGCTGGGTAACTCACCGCCCAGCATGGCAGTTACGACCGTACTTGTCCCATTTAACGTGTCATACAAAATATTGCCTGAAACACCTAATTAGCGATCGCCCTCGTACTAGGATCAAACATTTCGACTCACACCTATTAAATCATCATGTTGAGCAAAGTTCAATGGTCAGAATCTCACTCACCCCTACAAACGAGTGTATTCATTGGACAGGAATGAGATGATTGCGGAATACTCACTACATCCGTCAGCGAGAATTGTGTAGCATTTGCTGTGTGCCGCCGGTCAGAAGAATCGAACACAGCGCATGTGAGACATACGCAGAATGTTGATACTGATAATGAGAGATGGCTATTAGTACAGCACCGACTTGCTGACCTCAAAAACATACACAGAATATGGTATTCCAATATAGCGTATCTAGAACATTTTGGAGTCAGCACAAGTTGCTAGTCACGCTACGGTATAATATGAGGTACGAACAGTGAGATAAAGCACAGTTATCAGAGACCAGCGTTGCCTCTGCCCAAAATTCAATGTTGCTTTTCTTCTGATATGGACTCTATCACTCACCCAGATCAGTTCAATCTAAAGCACTAATTTTAGCGAGTTGGCTGCTCCGGCTACTATGACACCGACCTACCTCTTGTCCAAGTGTCAATACTGGAAATATCATAAAAATATCAGCGGTTTTCGAACACTGTCCTGCTCACCCCAATCATATACCACCACGACGCCGGCGGCAACTGAGAAACCGCAAGTCAGTGTTAGATCGAGATATCACCAACTGACACGACGGACCTGTCCAATAGTTGAAAAAAACATTTGCATTGATCATCGGCCACCAACTGGGATCATTTGATACTACGGTCATATTCGAGGGACGGGTGTGAGCCAGTGGGAGATGTTGGGGGTGTATAATATGGTGCTGGATCAGTTCAAAAATTCTACACACAAAATCCATACATACTAGTACACACAACATTTTCACACATACACAATCGTGTACCGTTGCCGAGACACCTGGGTGACACCGCTTATGTTACTATTTAGTAATGTTAGTACATACACTACAGCAGTTACTAATTAGAGGGGAAAGTCTTGCGTGCATGGCAGGGACGCTTTGCCTGGACAGTCTACGAGTGAAGGTGAGAGTCCGAGTCTGATTATGCTGTGGATTCCGGAACCTTGGGCTATCAGCTGTCTCAGCTCAGATACACTACTTCTACTTGCCAGCGCCCGTGCTTTCCATTTATTCGGTCAAAATGATGGATATATTTATGTATGTATTTCGATCGGTACTTTACTTTGACGGTCGTGCTTAGTAGGATAGGCTCCAACAGATCATTGCAAGGATGCAAACCCGACACATAAGTTGCAGTCGCATTGGCGGAGAATTACGATGGCGCGGCTCCGACCAACGTACATATGGATGCAATTTCAGAATCTCGTGGTCGAGGTCTCATTAATAGTGAGCCCCGATTCTCTAATTCTCTACTCCCCGCTCAGTATACCTCATCTCTTTGTCATGCTCATTCATGATAGAGGCATACAGTCGAACCACAAGTCCGCGCGATTCATTCCTGTTCCTTCACCGTGCCACCGTGGCCCAGATAGATGGAAGCACCTCTCAGCACGAATGAGTTACAGCCATCTGGGGTTCATGCCTCTCGGTCACTTTTCATCATGTGTGTGCTCAGACAGCAGAACTCCGCAATCAGCTGTCTGGGCATCAAAGACTGGGTTGATTGCTAGACGTTCTTGCGGATAATTTGAGCTTGCCACTTGGTGCAAGTGTGGGCGGGCGGTTCACTGACTTCCAGTAGTGACACAACAAGAAACGGGTTTGTCTACATAAGCCTCGTCTTAAGTATACTTTGAAACACCATAACTTAAATAAATACTACGACAGACCTCGACCAAATATCTCCTCCATGCAGAACACTCAGCAAGCATTTCCCTACACAGTACTACTAGTTGATACATGTACACGCTCCTGGAAGACAATCGAAATCATGCTAGTTTCTGCGTCGGAATTGGCCACGAGCTTGGCGCTATACTCTCTAACACTAAGGATGAGGCGTGGTCCCAGGACGAACATCTGCACAGCCAATAAAATTTGAAAAACACCATTGAGTATTACTCCCGTTGAAGCTGAATTCTACAGAAATGATGAGCAGTGGTTACAAGCAGATGTCAGCGACAGGTCGGCGCACCTCAAGCTCTGGAGCGAGATTAAGAACTAACTCGAAGCAAGAGACGCAAAAAAAGCTACCACATGTGGTACTTGAGCGGGAAAAGATAAGCACATTCACATTACAAGCCCACCTTGCGAAATAAAGCACGTGTGATTTTATCAACACTCTGAAACAGTCCCCTGTGCGCGATCCTGTCGATGGGCCGAGTCGTCTCAGGTGACGGAAGTGTTTCATAGCAATCCAGACTGAAAGACACAGTGCAAGGATCTCCCAAACAGTGTTGAGCGTCCAAATCATTGAAGCCAGACGCTCGACATCCGCCTCATATCTAAAGCCGCACATATACGTTCCAGAGAGTATCAGCTCCCCTGGTGGTTGTCCAATGAGCGGTGTTTTTCAAGTCAACAAGTAAAGCTTACCCCCTACAGTATCCTTGAGTGCTATTGCCATGAGTACTCCGCAGGCGATGTTAACAGCCAGACAGATGACAACAAGGAAGATAAACATCCTCCTAGATCCCTGATACATGGCATGCAAGCGAGCAATCATGATGACTTGCATCGTATTTCAGTCGAGTCAATATCACTGAGGTATTGCAGCTCACCGCCCAGCATGGCAGTTACGACCACATTTGTCCCACCACCTGCGTAGTTCATGATATCGCCTGAAACACCCGATTAATGATCACCCTTGTAGTAGGACCAAACGCTGCGACTCACACCTATTGAGTCATTATGTCGAGGCAAATTCAATGGTCAGAATCTCACTCACTCCTAGATATGAGCAGTGATCATTGAATAGGAATGAGATGGTTGCGGAATACTCACTGTATCTGTCAGCGAGACCGATTGCATACTTTCTGTGTGCCGACAGTCAAAAGAATCGAACACGGTGCATATGAGACATACCCAGAACATTGTTACTGATAATGAGAGATGGGCTATTAGTACAGTGTCAACTTGTTGGCCTCAAACACATACACAGAATATGGTAGTATTCCAATATAACGTATCTAGAACATTTTGGAGTCAGCACAACTTGCCAACCAGGCTATAGCATAATATGAGGTACGAACAAGCAAATACATCACAGTCATGAGAGACCAGCGTTGCCTCTGCCCAAAATTCATTGTATTGTGTTACTTTTCTTCTGATATGGGACTCTATCACTCACCCAGATCAGTTCAATCTATGACACCGTTCTTAGCAAGTTGGATACTCCGGCAATAGCACTGACGTACCTCTTGTCCAAGTGTTAGGACTGGAAATATGATGAGAGAATGAGCGGTTTTCGAACACTGTGCTGCTCACCCCAATCGTATACCACCACGACGCCGGCGGCAACTGCAAAACCGCAAGTCAATGTTAGATCGAGACATCACCAACTGATACGACGAACTTGTCCAATAGCTGGAAAAAATATCCAAACTGATTATCGGCCACCAACTGGGATCATTTGAGACTACGCCGGTCATATTCGAGAAATGGGTGAGAGCGAGTGGAGGATGTTGGGGGTTATAACGATCTAGTGTTCGTGCCAGATATACCACCATTCAGCGCTTGTATCGCTAAAATGGGCATCATGTGATGGAGATGGATATTTGATCCTGTTTCAAGACCCTTGATTAGTGCTGGGGGCAGAACTATTTGCGAACTATTGTGCCGGCACAACCGGCAGAAGTGGCGGTTCTGCCACTTCTGCCACTTGGCAAACTATCAAAGTGCTACAGGGCTATGCGTGCAACGGTGTATCACTAGGAGACACCATTAGAAGACACCAGCATGTCCACATCCCACTGTCCGTCGTCGTGTGAGGTTCGTTTCCATCATCCAGCAGTTACATCAATGTTGATGACTGGCTGGGTGCTGGTGTGCATGTGCGCATGACGTCAATGATTTGGCCTGCCATTAGCCATGGCCTTCTAATGATTATGGTAATGAAAATTTGCTCAAATCCTTGCTAGTGCTTTTGAATCATGTCTATTGTGAGATTGCAGCGCTGCAGAGACCGGGTGTTACACATATGTGAGAAGAGGCATTCGACATTGGAGAGGTGTATCCACGACTGTGTACCTTGAGCAAAAAGTGAAGTCCTCGATTGAATCAAAGTTGATTTTGAATGGTAAACCAATATCACGCACGTGAAAGATCCACTCGTTGGTGATTTTGGCAACTCATTTGGAATACTGATCTTCGGGGTGTTCTCAGTGATGAAGATATAGATCCTTGATTAGTCGAAGTGAGTATTGCAATTTAATGTGAATCTGGTAAAATTGCAAATTTGGCTTCGATTGAATCAAAGTTGATTTTGACTTGCGAACCAATTTCACACACGCGAATGCAACATGCACTGGCAAGTTTCGTTCCTTCTCCGATCTGATAGTGATATACCTGGGTCCCTATTTATTCAAAATACAATGTCTACAGCAACGCTGCCCACGCCCTCTGATCATCTCCTAAATATTAACTTACTATGATCACCATCACACTCGCACCCACTCTCTGCCCGTCTGCACGTGATTGCTTCCTGTGCAAATGAGTCTGATCGGTAATATAGTGATAACCGGTTGACCAGGAAGCGGACTCATTCAAGTTGCCTTATGCATCGCACATTTCCCTACACAGTACTGCTAGTTTGTACATGTACAGGCTCCTGGAAGACAATCGAAGTCATGTTGGTTTCTGCGTCAGATCCGGCCACCAGGTTTGTGTGAGATTCTCGAACGCTAAGGATGAGACGTGGTCCCAGCACAAACAACTGCACGCCCCATAGAATTTGAAGAGCACCCATGAGTATCATAGTCCCAATAGAATTTGAATTCTACATAAGTGATCAGCAGTGGTTACAAGCAGATATCAGTGACAGGTTGGCGCACCATGAGTTCCAGAATGATATAAATAAGCTGGAGGCAAGAGACACAAACAAAGCTAGCACGTGCGGAACTTGAGCATAAAAAGACAACAATATTCACATTACAAGCTCACCTCGCAAAATAAAGCACATGAGATTTTATCAGCACTCTGAAACAGTCCTCGATGGCCGACCCTGTCGATGGGCCAAGTCGTCGCAAGTCACGGAAGTATTTCACAGCAATCCAGACTGCAAGACACAGTGCGAGAACCTCCCAAGCAGCGTTGAGCATCCAAAACATGAATGCCAGAACCTGGAGATACCCCTCAGATAGTACAACATTACACATGTACATGCCGGAGAGTATCAGTTCCTCTGGTGTTCGTGCAATGAGCTGCGTTCTTTAAGTTGACAAGTAAAGCTTACCCCCTACAACATGCTTGAGTATTATTGCCGCCATTACCCCACAGGCCAGGTTAACAGTCAGGAAGATAATAACAAGGAAGATAAGCATCATTCTAGATCTCTGATACATGGCATGTAACCGAGTAATCATGATGACTTGTATCGTGTTTCAGTTGACCCAATATCACTGAGGTATTGCAGCTGGGGCGCTCACCGTCCAACATGGCAGTTACCACCACATCTGTCCCAAGTGTTGTGCAAATCAAAATACTGCCTGAAACACCTAATTAGCAATCGTCCTCGTACTAGGATCAAACATTTCGACTCACACCTATTAAATAATTATGTTGAGCAACGTTCAATGGTATGAATATTGGCACTCACCCCTACAAATGAGTGCATTCATTGGACAGGAATGAGATGATTGCGGAATACTCACTACATCCGTCAGCGATAATTGTATATTTGCTGTGGGCCGCCGGTCAGAAGAATCAAACACAAGCGCACATGAGACATACGCAGAACATTGAGACTGATAATGAGAGATGGCTATTAGTACAGCACCGACTTGCCGACCTCAAAAACATACACAGAATATGGTATTCCAATATAGCGTATCTAGATCATTTTGGAGTCAGCACAAGTTGCTAATCACGCTATGGTATAACACGAGGTACGAACAGTGAGATATAGCGCAGTCATCAGAGACCAGCGTTGCCTCTGCCAAAAATTCAATGTTGCTTGTCTTCTGATATGGAACTCTGTCGCTCACCCAGATCAGTTCAATCTAAAGCACTATTTTTAGCAAGTCGGCTGCTCTGGCTATGACATTGACCTACCTCCTGTCCAAGTGTTAATACTGGAAATATCATAAGAATATCAGCGGCCTCTGAACACTATCCTGCTCACCCCAATCATATACCACCACGACGCCGGCAGCAACTTTGAAATTGCAAGTCAATGCTAGATCGAGACATCACCAACTGATACGACAAACCCGTCCAATAGCTGTAAAAAACATTCGCATTAATCATTGGCCACCAACTGGGATCATTTGAGACTATGGTCATATTCGAGGGACGGGTGTGAGCCAGTAGGGAGATGTCGGGGATCTATAATGTTAGCGTTCAAACTAGATATACCACCATTCAATGCTTGTATCGCCCAAATCGGCATGACGACTCATCAAGCCGAAGTCATTTCCGACAATCACCTTGCTTGGAAGGTCCCCGACTCCCACGATTAGTAGGGGAAAGGTTTTGGCAAACGCGCCATTCTCAAAGTTTCTGTCGCTTACGTGTCCACCGATGACTCTTAACAAGGTCCAATTCTGTGACACGGCACTGGAGAAGTCAGACAAGAAACAGAGTGAGCTGAAGCGGACCAAATATGACTACTTACCATCTGTTGCCTCGTACATCTCTATCATTGGGCTATGGTACGAAAATA